GGAGGTGACTCAGTGGCAACTGGTTCTGTCTATCTCTTTCAATTTTCACACTTACTTTCTCAATCCCATTATTCTATATACAAATTGCCAACACATATATTTAAAGTTCTATACAGAACATTTGCTCTTTGGGAAAAATGCTAAAATAAAGCTCTAAACTTAGGAGATCAGAGCATTTTATCTTCACATGTGCCTACAGATAATGCTTTTAGATAGTATCTGATTATCTGTTGGCAACTCAACACTACCAGTCCCACCCTCATTTTATAGCTCTTCCCTGTACGGCAGGAGACTAAGCCTGGGAACATTTCCCTGACACTCTTTGCAGGATTCTGACCTAGGCTCTCCTGAGTTTTACCAGGTAGAAGAAAGAAAAGAAATGCATAGGCTAAGAGAGATGTGAAATGTTGCTATAGCCTCTCCACATTTCCTGGAAAATCACCACTCTGATGTTGCAGGTCACTGTGATCACTGCCAACTACTTCCTACAGTTTCAGAATCCTCCTGGCTCTCTGGAAACTAGACGTAAACATCAAGAGCTGGTAGCTATTCTCCCTGACCATTATCTCTCCAGTACCAATCCCCTCTATTAAATCCTTTCCTCAACAAACTACCTAGAGTAAATTCTGACTTGATATAAGCAGTATCCAATATATGGACAGGAAGAAATATATATAATACTTTAAGTACCTCATAATTCTGTTTCTGCTGTTTCTGAAGTGCTAAAGATTCTTCTATGGAGAGCAGCTGTGTAGGCATATGGTGAAGGGGTAGAAGCCGAGCTGCTGTGATGTCATCAAGATGCTTCTTATCTCTGCGCATCCTTTCTTCTGAGGAAACAGGAGACCCTCTTCTCTGGCACTGCCTAGCTGAACCATTTGGTTGTGAAGGTAATCTGAAGGGGAGAAGGCTTATGCTATACAACCACACTATTTTCTTTCTATTGACACACATTTAAAACCTTCACACACCAAATGGTCTTTAACATTAGAAATTCTTTTCTAAAAAGCTAACAGTAAGCAGTGTATCTACATTACATTTATAGATAAAATCTGTTTCCTTTGTCTTAACATATTTATTTCAAAAACACAAGTATTTAAACTGGTACAACTCTTTTAGAGAATAACCTGACAATTCATTGTTCTAACAGACAACAGGTATACATCTGGGTTCTTTTCCTTGCCTTTTCATTTTCCTCCCTCAAATCTTCTACTTGAACTGAAGCTGCTATCTTTTCAATAAACATCTGCTAAGGGGCCTACTGTCTAGTAGAAGCAAATGAGCATGCAAAGAGTTTCGGTACAATTAATACCGTAAGTACTGTGACAGATATCCACATGGTACACTGGAATATCAACATGTCAAGAGCCATTTCTATTACAGAGTGGGGAGATTACCAGAAACGCTTCTTTCGTCAAGGGTTTCAAAGAAGAGGTATCAAAGAAGTACAGTATACAGGGATAGAAGAGGTGTAGAGCACAAAAAAGCAGCAAGAGATAAGGCTGGAGAGTAGGGTAGGCCCAGCCTGCAATGAAGAGTTCTGTTCTATGTAATATGTTTGGATCTGTATTTTACAAACATCACTCTGACAGCAGTGAAGGGAATGGATGGTAGATTTAAGACTAGAGACAGGAACCAAAAACCAAACCAAACTCACTGCTGTCGAGTCAATTCCGACTTATAAAGACCCTCATTGGGTCTAAGGCTGCAAATCTTTACAGGAGGTTGCCCCATCTTTCTTCCACGGAGCAACTGATGAGTCCGAACCACTGATGTGTTGGTTAGCAGCCAAATGCCTTAACCACTATACCACCAGAACTTCTCAGAGGCAGGAAGAGGCCCCAATTATAGCCTAAAAGGGAGATATGAGCCTTCACTTTGACAAGAGAAATGATGAAGAATGATTCTAAGGAGATGAAGCTCACGGAGGTGTATTACGTAGGTCTTTGTGACTAGAGGGACCTCTGGTGGAGTAGTGCCTAAGGCTTTTGACTGGTAACCAGAAGGCTGGCAGTTCAAACCTACCAGCCACTGCTCAGAAGGAAGAGTGGGTAATCTACTTCCATAAAGATAACACCTAGGAAACCCAAGGAGGGGTCGCTATGAGTCAAACTGACTTGATAGCAGTGAGTTTGGTTTAGTTTTTTTGTGACTAGTAGGATATGAAGATGAGGAAAAAGGAATATACTTTGGGGATTGTGTGTGTGTGGGGGGCGGTGATGACAGAATACTAGAGAATACAGAAGTCAGTCAGTTTGGGAAAAACTAGGTGATCGTAAGCAGTTTACCTCTATTACATGATGTACCTGATGTGCCTGAGATGGTAGTGGGATATCCCAGCAGTCACATGTCTGAAGTTTTGGAGAGGACTGGTAGAGAGATGCAGGTCAGCAACCAGCATCCAAGTGCTTTATGAAGCCAGAAGAGTGTGGAGAAGGCCACAGGAAGAACACTTTCCCACCTCCAAGTGCTGCTCATGCATCAAGCCCCCTCGATCACCACCTATCAACAGCCTATTACCAATTCATTAAGTTTTTTCGCACTTCCTCTAACTGCACAGGAGCTATTTTTCTCCACAACTTCTTTACCCTTGGTAGCCCTCATTGCTATTCCCTTATCTCCCTCCTACTTCCAGGCAAGTAACTATGAAACAGAACTGGAATCAGTGTATTCTTTGTTGTACTTGCTGACTAGGTGGTGCGCCTGAAGTGAGGAAAAGTATCTTACCTTACACAACATGTGCAATTACTTGCTGAAAAATGTTTTCTATTCCTACTGAAGAGTAGAGACAGGAACCAAAAACCAAACCAAACTCACTGCTGTTGAGTCAATTCCGACTTATAAAGACCCTCATTGGGTCTAAGGCTGCAAATCTTTACAGGAGGTTGCCCCATCTTTCTTCCACGGAGCAACTGATGAGTCTGAACCACTGACGTGTTGGTTAGCAGCCTAATGCCTTAACCACTATACCACCAGAACTTCTCAGAGGCAGGAAGAGGCCACAATTATAGCCTAAAAGGGAGATATGAGCCTTCACTTTAACAAGAGAAATGATGAAGAATGATTGTGGGGCTAGTGTGGGATCAGGCAGTGTTTCGTTCTGCTGTGCATGGGGTTGCTATGAGTCGGAAATGACTCGACAGCACTTAACAACAATTCCTACTGAAAAATTAATGTAATATTAACTTGTTTTTCTATACAGCACAAATAAAGTTTTGAAGTTAAAAAAAAAGAATGAAGGGGTAAGGTTAACTTTAAAATCTATTAATAATAATAACAAAAAGTTTTAGGTATTTTTACTTAGAGGTTTTTCAGTTTTTCAAAGAAAGGCAGTATGTTGTTGTTGTTGTTTGCCATCGAGTCGGCCCCGACTCATAGCGACCCCTCCTTGGGTTTCCGAGGCAGTATCACTACAGAAGTAGGAATGCCCAACCTTCTTCCAAGGAGTAAAGGCAGTATAGTAGTTGTTTATTTCCTATCTCATATCTATGCTACATCTAGGCAAGTACCAACTGCTACTCCCTGATATGAACATTACATTGGAATACAAGTAAATAACAAGTCTTTACTTCTCAAAGAGCTTTTACTTTTCTGGCAATCTCACAAACAAAACTATGACAAGAAACTTAGAAGCAGGGTTTTCACCTATCCTGCCTGTTTCCCACTGGTTTTTAAAACCCTCTGCTCCCTCCTTCCTGAAATTGTCATTATTTAGTTTAGTATTTTCCAAATGTGTAAGCCTCAGATCCTCCTCCAGATCCTAAGCTCTTTTGAGGATGAAAACTTTAACTTTTTGTCACCACAGCATCTGCTGTTTACATAAGGCACTAAAGTATTTTTCGCTGAGAGTGTCCTTATCAGCTCCTGCAATTACTTTCCTCTTAGCTTACAGTCTCATCAAACTGGGAAGCTATATAAGAGAAAATGGTTCTGGGAGAAAAAGGCGTAATAAATTTTTTAAGTCTATATTTTATTATTAAATATTGACTGAGTATCCTGAAATTTAATATTCTCCCATGTGTTATTTAAAACCTTTTCAACTGCTTGGCTAAAATACTAAAGGGTTTTTCCACATGACTCCTCCAACCCAGCCAGGCTGTTCTGATCATTTTCAAAATATGTTCATTCCTAACTAAAGTAGTTCTCACACAGATTTTTCTTTTAAGTTTTATCAAATACCGTGTCCTTTAACAAATACTCTGTGATAGACCTGTTTCCAATGATACTCACACATTTGTTTTAAATTTATGCGCTGGGAACACTGGGTTTTTGGCTCGCATTTCTAGCACTTCCACGTAATGTGGCTTCTTCCGAGTCCCACTATGAAGGCCTGGCAAGTTATCGGTACTCGTGTTTTCCTCTAAGCAATGCTCCCCTTGTTCTGCGATTGTAATCCTTCGTAAGCTATCAATAATCAAGTGGTCAGAGCTGCTAGAAGTATCTTCTTCATGACTTGAAACGGGATGCTGAGGGAGATGCTGGCTAGCTTCAGATAAGAAAGTTATACTGGCTTTGCTGCTGGGAACTGAACATTTGTTCACTGTGTCCTCTGCCTCTGAAGTCTCTTCACTGCCTTTGTCAAGGACAGGTACAATTCCCTGCTTTGGTGAAGTTGCTTTAGATGACTTGCTGTCAGCTACAGAAGAACAGCTAGGAACTAGTGATGAAGTATCAAGTATCTGGTCAGGATTCTGAGCCTTAACTGTGTCCACAACTCCTGCAATCACTTTTTGCCTTACTTCACAGTCTAATCCAACAGGATGAAAGAGTACACTTTTTCTTCTAAACTCTTCCCGTTCCGCAATGGCCGCTTTCAGTTTGGCAACAGAGTCTAAGATCTTTTTACCTCTGTCGGGCAATCTGCAAATGAATTTTCTGTCAAATAGAAAAGAACATGTATGCATTAGAGCCATGTTTTCAAACTTTAGATATAAGATTTAAAAGACAAAGCATTATCCTCAAAGGGAGAAAAGATGATTTTTAAATCAAAATTTGATTTCCAACTGCCCCAAAACAAGAATTAAACAAATAAGATAATCATTATCCAAATGCACCCAAAACCAAGAAGATACATAAAGAACAGAGAATAAGCCTCACCTGTCTCATCCAATTAGAATTTTAGTAAGGAATTCCAACAGATCAACAGTTTTCTAAGCATAATCCTCAAGACCCTCTTGGGTGGAAAGAGGTCTCTGAGGTCACAACTATTTTCCCCTCATTTTCTCACATAAGTACAGTGGAGTTTCCCAGAGGCTACAATGATGTGTGACAACATCATTGCTCTGAAGGTGAATGTATATTCTTGCTTTTTAGTTTTATCAGCTGTCATTTCTAATAAATCAATAAATATTGCTAGATATAATCCACATAAACAAAAGTGTTTCGGGGTCCTCAATAATTTTTAAGTGTATAAAGGGGCCCTTAGACCAAAAAGTTAAGAGAATTCACTGCCACAGATTAAAAGTTCAACTTCACAAAGTCAAAACACCCAAGTGATTATTTGTCTCCTTTACTGAGTAACGGAAGTCCATTTTCAGATTCCTTCTTTAGCCACACAATAAATGAGGAAAGAAAGCTCATCAAAATAACATCTTGTTGTTGTTGTTATTTGCCGTCGAGTTGGCCCCGACTCATAGCGACCCCTCCTTGAGTTGCCGAGGCAGTATCACTACCGAAGTAGGATTGCCCAACCTTCCTTCCGAGGAGTGGCTGGTGGGTTTGAACCGCCAGCCTTCTAGTTAGCAGTCAAGTGCCTTAGGCACTATGCTACCAGAGCTCCTAAATAACATCTTAGGACCTTCTATTCTTTCTCTTAGGAGCTCTGGTAGAGTAGTGCCTAGGGCACTTGACCGCTAACCAGAAGGCTGGCGGTTCAAACCCACCAGCCACTCGGAAGGAAGGTTGGTGGGGCAATCTAATTCCGTAGTGATACCTCCTCAGAAACCCAAGGAGGGGTTGCTGAGTCAGGTCCTACTGGACTGCAAAAAACAAGATTCTTTCTCTTACATCACAATCATTCCTAGAGTCAACTATTAGCACCTAAGGAGTTCTGGTGACACAATGCCTAAGGCATTTGACTACTAACCAGAAGGTTGGTGGTTCAAACCCACCAGCCACTATGTGGAAGGAAGACAGGGCAATCTACTTCCATAAAGATTTACCACCTTGTAAACCCAATGGGGATTGCAATGAGTCAGAATTGACTGGATGGCAGTGAGTGTTGTTTGAATATAGCTGAGATTCCTGTGTTTTTCCAGTTTTCTCTTCCCTAAGTTTCACAACCACCTCTCCAGCTTTTAACTTGCCTTAATTAACCCAATGTCTATCCTGCCATGCCCTCAACTTACTAAAAATCAAACTCGGACCTATGTTCTGCCATCTACTCAACCTACTAAAAATCAAACTCGTAACTATCCCCCTCCCCTAAATTTCCTAGTTTTGTTCATGGTTTTCCATGCAGGCTGAGAACTTCAGCCATCTCGGTCAACTGCAGGTTAAAATTATTGCACAGTCACCTTCCTAGTTCACTTTCCTACAACCCCTTGTCGGGAACCTACCTAAAAATATCCTCCTACTGTCTTCTGCCTCTTATTCCTTCAAACCATTCTGTTACTAAATTAAGTTTCCTTAAAAAAAAAAAAAAAAAATCATTTTTATTGTATCACTCCCCAGCTAAAATCCATTAAGTCTACCAGCTGAGTGAGAAACTTTCTTGGCCTAATAAATCACCCTTTGTTTATATCCGACTCCTCCCATTTCCTACAGTTCCAAGAGCAGGATTTAATCCGACTCGTCCCATTTCAGACAGTTCCTAGAAGAACAGGATTTAGCAGTGAAACTGACAAAACATTAAGCCTTTCCTGTATTTGACCGGGGGGGTGCATATAAAAAGGGTTATGACACAGATCTTTCAATGAACCGATACATTAGGTGAACATAAAACCAACTTAAGTATTCACGAATAGCTCAAGCGCTAAACCGCCGTTCTGTACACGAGCAATCATCACAGGCAGTGTGTGACTACCCAGGATGCGGTACAGCTTTGCGACTGTAGGCCGTCCACTCGCAAGCGGGACTAAAATTAATCTGACTCGGGCAAGGTCACCTTCCAGAAAAGGGAACGGGGTGAGGGAATGGGGGAGGACAGCTTCCCAAGGAGCCCGACCAAAGGATCCCGGAGTTGATTCGGCGGGACCCAAGCTTACTCGTTGCGCAAAAGTCTCTCCTGGCGCTTCAACATCTCCCCCAGCTCCGCCAAACTCCGCTGCCCCAAGTCCTCGGGAGCTTGGGGCTCGAAGCCGCGGGGCAGCGAGGACATTCTGCGGGGGTTGAGGCTGGCGAGACTGTGAGCACTCAGCTTCCTCAGCGGCCCCTGCCGCTAGCGCCGGATCCGCAGCTGGCGACGACTCAGGAGCACGAGCGGGAGACGCCATTTTCCCGGAAGAACAGGCCTTCTTCGAGTCAACACGAGCTATACCGAAACGCCGGAAACAAACACAGACCATGAGAAGGGGGTGCCGGGAGAAACGGGAAGGGGCGGAAGTTACGAAGGATGACGTCAGCGCCTCAAGGTGTGCTTCTTTTCGCGCAGGTTTCAGTTCTTCATTATTCTATTCATCTGGTTCGTTGCAAAATATTTGCGTGTCACCGTTTCTTCAAAAATTATTTCAGTACCACTGTGACATCACAAAACATGATATATTAATGAATGAATAGCCACTGGTCCTTGCTCTTACGAAATTTACAGTGTCGTGAATGGGGCAGACAAACAACACACTATGACAGTAAGATTGGTATGGACATTAGGGACGTTATCTCTGAGAAATGAAATTTATGTCAAAACCTGAAGGAAGAAACAAGACAATCATTATCCCTGGGTGGTGCAAACCGTTTGTGCCGGACGGCTAATGATTGGTGGTTTGAACCAACCTCCGTTGAGATTACAGTGTGCTATCAAGTTGATCCCCACCCACAGCAATTCTGTATGACAGAACTGTGCCATAGGGTTTCCTAGGCTGTAATCTTTACAAGACCAGATTGCCAGGTCTCTCGCCCATGAAGTAGCTGGTGGGTTCCAACTTCCTACCTTTTGGTTTGCAGCATAGGGCGTAGCTATTATGCCACCAGAGCTCCTTTCCGTTAAGACTCTAGCCAAGCACTCCCTATGGAGCAGTTCTGCTCTGTAAGGGATCCGTTTGCCATAAGTCAATGGCAATGGGTTTAGATTTTTGGCCTAAGATGTGATTGCTCCTAGTCTAAGTCTCAGTGAAGTCCTGAACTGTGAAAGTTTAAAAGTTCCTTAGAAACCAAGTTTTCTTAATGAAGCTCTGTGTATTTGGGGCAGCACAATTCTTCATTGTGGCATTGACTCGGGCATGGCAGGACATTTGGTGTCTGGCTTCTGCTCACTAATTGCCATGGCACTTCCAAGTCATTATAACGGTACAAAACCATCACCACCACCAATTCCCAGAGGTTCACAAGAGTTGATGATAGGGATAAGATGTGTGGCTCAAGCTGGCTGAGAATGTCTCTTTCACAATTTCCTATTTTGCTGATAGAAATACAGAGGTACAACAACAAAAGTGAATATTCCCAGGGCACAAAAGTGACAGCCCCACATTTCAAACCCAACTGCCCAGCTGCTCTTTCCAACACACGCCTCAAAAATGCTCATCTCCTCTTTAGGTATATTTTCAAACATATGAAATTGATTTTTAAAAAGTTTTGTTTTGTTTTTCTCAGCTGTTGAGAAGAAGAAAGCAGTATAACCTGCATTGCACCCAGCTCTCACCTTCTCTTTATAATTCAGCTCCTAAAGCTATCTCCAAGGAAAGTGCAAGAAGCAGGAAAGAATCACAGAAGTATGGCTTGGGAGGCTTGAACACCCCCATAATCCCCAGAACTCCCTCCATTCTTTGATATGGAAAATTGAAGTGTTCTCAAAGCTCTGTAAAGTGCTATGTAAATACTAGTAACTCGCTTCCAACCAGACAGACACCCTAGATAAAATCTGGAGCTACTCCAAGGAACACAGTTGTAGCCTTTTCTGTATCTCCCCAATCTAGATCATCTGATTATATTAATTAATATATCAAAAGAAATTTTCTCAATGTAAGCTGCTTTCAAGAACTTCTTTAACCTCCTCTGGCCTTAGCGAAATAAGAAATACTCTGATTAAAGTCCCTAAGGCAGGTCCTAGTCCCCTGGCAAGCTTCCCCAAGGTCTCCTTCATCCTGCCTCTGGACCCCAGCTGGAGGCTTATTATTCCGCACAGTAGTGAATCCCCATCCTCTGATCCTGGGCCACAGGTGTGCAACGCAAAGATGGCTTTCTTTCAGGCCACAGAATTTTGCCTGCTGCCAGCTTCCTCCTGTAAAAGGCTGTTTCTTTTCCCCTTGCCAATTATACATCTTGGCTTAAGCTTCAGCTCCTCCCTGAGCTTTACTAGATTATTCCAACGCAAATCACTTTTGCTTTTCCTCATAACTATAGTACTTAGAGTTGGCACCCCACTATATGAAGCACATAATGCTTCTCCGATTGTATTATAAGGAACTCTGGTGGCACAGTGGTTAAGTGCTTGGCTGCTAACCAAAAGGTTGGTGGCTCAAGCCCACCATAATCTACCTCTGTAAAGATACACAGCCTCGGAAACCCTATGGGGGCAGTTTTACTCTGTCCTATAGGGTTGCTGAGTTGAATTGACTCAATGACACTAAGTTGGTTTTTTAAAATTGAATTATGCATGGTGGTTTCTTTTTTTCCTTTCTAACTAATTTGTAGGAGTATTTTGGTGGTGCAAACAAAGAACATAGATTTCAACAGCAACGTTTGGGAGAAAAGGACATAAAATGGAGAAATTTACAACAGGAAAACGAAGAACAATAAGTTCCATGGGTTTTACCTGTATCCAGCCAAAAAGGTTGTTGGTTTGAACCCACCCAGAAGCACCTCAGAAGACAGGGCTGGCAGTTTGCTTCCACACAATCACTCTTGAAAATTCTGTTGGGCAGCTCTACTCTGCTAGAGTTACAGGGTCGCCATGAGTGGGAATTGACCTAACAGTAACAACAGCAACTAAATTGTATAGTCCTTTTTTGTCAGGAAGCTATTTGTACTTCTCTGTCTCCCATTACTCCTATGGCAAATACTAATTGGCAGAATCTCCCTCTCTGTTCATTTTTTTCTCCCTCTTTTCCTCGTGTTCTACTTTTCCTTAATAAAATGTCCCTTATATATACATAAACCATAAGCCTTTTATATAAGTATTAACTATAGTTACAATGAATATTTTCAGTGGTGGGGGATAGAATCTTCTATACAACATAGCTTAAGGCTTCAAGACATTATAATACAAATCCAAATTCCTAACAACTCCCATGCACAAACCATCCTATTCTCTTGTCAGCAACCAAGAAGCTTGGCAAAAGATTTGAGAAAGACTGCCCTGAATCAAAAGCAAGATATTTGTTTGTACTTCAAAATGAAAACAGGCATAGCATTCTTTTATGTCCATTAAACAAATTCAAAAAAATGTAAGTATTTAGAACACAGATTTTAACAGCAGTGTCTGTGAGGAAAGGACATAATATGGAGAAATTCAACAATGAGAAAACAAGAACAATGAGCTCCATGTGTTTTACCTGTTTCCAACCAAACCAAACACATCTTTGAGAATCAATGGGGGCCACAAACCATGGCAGCTAATCTCTGTTAAAGAATTCTAGTTGCATAACAAAATAATGTTGTTAATTATTTTATTATCTATAATAAAGTTGAATCTGGACAAATGTTTTTTGGGTTTTTGTTTGTTTTCCCTTTTTAATGTTCATTTTTTTTTTTTTTTTTTTTGAAAGTCCAGGTCACCTTTCCAGTGGTACTCTGATTAACCTCTTGAATGTTAATTGTCCTCAAAAGCAAACTAATGAATTTGACTGTGTTGAAAAGAAAGAAAACTTCAAAACAAAGAAGAAAAGGGTAGGAAAATTTCCTCAGACACATAAAGTGCTACTAGGATGACTTACCTGTCCCACTGACACTAAGCTGCCCAAAGATGCAGTATTGTTTGAACATGATAAAAACTCACTCTGGGAATGATTTCATTTGTCCTTATGGAATTGAAGATAAACAGACTCAATCAATTATAACATTGATCAAAGTTAATCCTCAGACTCCCCAGCCTGCTCTTCTCTGTTTCCTCCTTTTGATTATCCATTTGGGGGCTTGAATGGCCACAAAACTGACTATAATACACCTGCAGTCAACCAAAATGGCAGCAACAGTATCTGCCTCTTCCCTATCTTTGAACCTGGGTGTGCTTATGACCATAGCAAAACCAGCTTCCCAGGTGAGGTGATAAAAGATGATGTAGCTTCTTCCTAGTTCTCTTGGGGCACTTGACCTTGGAATTCAGCCAATAAGCTGTGAAGAAGCCTGAGTTTGTGTAGGTGTTTTGGGTGTTGGCCCCAGCCAAGGTCTCAGCCAACAGGTAGCATCAACCACCAGTCATGTGAACAAGCAAACCTTCAGATTATTCCAGCCCCCAACTGTCCAATCACTTCTAAACTTTGAGACTTCTAAACTGAGGTCCCAGATACTATTCCAGAGCAGAGACAAACCACCCTCACTATGCTCTTTCTGAATTCCTGATCTACAGAATTCAGAGGCATAATAAAGTTGTTCTGTGCTTACTCCTTTAAGATTGTAGTGGTTTGTTATACAATAGTAACAGGAGCACTATCAAAGGTAAATCCTTCCAGTTGTGCTCTGGATCCCATCTGTTCTTGCTTCCTGGGAGAGCTCATTCATTTGTTCATTTAATAAATATGTATTGGGTACCCAAGACACTGTCCTAGACTTTATAGGTAGTGATGAATGAGACAAACAAACTTCTGCCACAATGGAACTTACATTTTCTCAGATCGTACTAACTGCCATGTAGTGAAGTAAACAGGGTGGTACAATACAGAATGATTGGAAGGCTACTTTGATTGGGTGATTGGTGTTGGCTTCTCTGAGGAAGTAATTTGTTAGCTGAATCCTGAATGACAAGAAGCAACCAGTCATGGGAAATCTGATGGAAATGCATTCCAAGCAGAGGGAACAGCAAATACTATGACCCGAAAAAGAGAAAGACCTCAGCATGTTCAAATGACAGAAAGGAGGCCAGTGTGAAAGGCTGGGGCTAGATCTCACAGGGTTTTGTTGATCTATATATGAAGCTTGTATTTCATTCTAAGTCATCTATAGTGGGCAGCCTCTAGGATGGCTCCCAATGACCCCACCCTTATATAATCCCTTCCTATTGAGTGTGGG